TGTGCTTTTGTAAGTATAGTGTAACGTAGTTCGATAGTGCTTTACCTTTAGTAGACTCACAATATTCATAAAATAGGTACATAATTAAGCATACTTTTTCAATTTGGTACTAACAGAAGGAAGGAAAAAGTATTTTTAATTGAAAATTAAAATGTAATACTTTAATTGTAGTAACGGGCGTAAGGCACGCGCTGTGGCCCCGCGGTTGTTCTGTGACATCTGTGACGTGTTCGACGCGCACGACACGGAGGACTGCCCCCGGCAGGCGGGCGAGCCCGACGCGCCGCCGCCGCCCACCAACCGCCGCGCCGCACCGCCGCCGCGACCCTACTGCGATATTTGTGAAGGTAACTTTCACCGGTCAAACAAATATTATGAAAATCAATTTAAATGCACCTGTAGTTCAATTATATATGAATTGATATTACCTTTTTTAAGTCCTATAGTGTCTGAAGTCTTTAGGAATTTGATCTAACTACTAACTTGAGTAAGAGAGTAGAGAACTTACTTGTACCTTACTAATTACTAATGATATGAATGATATGTTTAGTTTAAGTTTACTAACAGGACAAGTGTCCACATAGTGAACGAGTCTTTATGTTTCCAGTATTCGGCCACGCAACAGAGAACTGTGATGAAGAGGAAACTTTCTAATTTGCCTATTTATTGACGGATTAGTTTTAATGTTACCGTTATTGTTGTTACATGTTTTAGTTGGCTATTATTTATTATTGTTTACCATTGGTATGGTATCACTTGTTTTATAGTTAATATTTTAGGAAAATATTTGTAAATAAGTACCCTTGATCTTTTATATCACTAAGAGAATCATTGCATGTTATATTTTTCATAATTAGGTGAATGGTAATCAACTTTTCTTATGCATTATCTGGTGTAATGCATATTGAGAAATGATCTTTTATGGCACAAATTGGTCTTACATCACAATCATGATTCTACAATAACGCTATTGCAACCTATTTTATTTTTAAAATAATTAAATGAACACCAAAATATAACAGTTTTATAACAATAAATTAAATTTTAATTATTCTGTTGTTTTATTTCTTAAAATAGTCTAGTTTTTAAGTTATTTGCATTATGATGATTTATTATATTCATAATATGAAATTATTACTTTTACACTCTAAAAGAAACTACAAGAAACAACTTATTCTCAAAAGTATAGTTAATTCACAACAACTCATTAATATAACTGCATTTTTGTTTTCGTTTGCCGGTACATCGATAATTTGTTTTGTTGTTTTGCTTATTTGCTTTTATCTTGTTGTCACTAATGTCACTAATCATAATTGTCATCTGTCATTAATGTCATTTTATCTGTCAAACGTCATGCTCCATTCCATTTCATTTCATGCTTTATGGTGGGTTTATGGATCATTGATGCGTTTTATTATAGCAAATATCAATTTTTCTGTGGTACACTTTTTATCATTCTCTTTCAAATTAATTTTGCATTTTTTTTTTTTTATTTACATACACTTTTGGTACTCTAGCAAGTGGGGGAGGTTGCTTTTATTGTATTTGCAAGCAGCCACCGCTTTTTATTTTATTTTTTATTTTTTTGTAATATATCTATTGATTTTAGTATTTATAGTTATCCGTTTCATTATCATTGTTATTTTTCTTTTTTTATGGATGATTTTATCGGTTTTGCTGATAGTTTTCTCACTTGCTCTCCGGCGTCCAGTCTTGCTAGTGCGGACAGTGATGCTTCCCAGTCACTTACCTTGCATGACAATTTATCCAATCGCTTTTCACTCTTCCCGAAAAACCTCAATATCGCTCATATTAATGCTCAGAGTGTTCCTGGACACTACTCCGACCTTCTGGCTACCTTTAGCAATGTGCATCTCGACGTCCTATTGATTTCCGAGTCATTTCTTAAACCTTCCCTTTTATCCACGCACTATGCCCTCCCTGGTTTTGTTTTGGTCCGCAATGACAGGACGGGTCGGGGTGGGGGCGGGGTTGCCATGTACATACGGTCTGATTTATCACACCGTGTAGTCAGCTCGTCCCCTTCTCTTTATTCTGAGTCAGCAGAGTTTATGTTCGTCGAGATATCCATGAATCTTAACAAGATCTTAATAGCCGTCTTATATAGTCCCAACTTACACATTAACTATTTTGATACTCTCGACCAACAACTCAATAACCTATGCCTTAATTATCAGCATGTTATCATCATGGGCGATTTTAATACTTGCCTCCTCAAACAAGATTCACGTGCACATAAACTCGAATCACTATTGTCATCTTTTAACCTGCATCTACTTCCCCTTTCAGCTACTCACTATCCCCCCAACTCGTCTCCTTCCTTGCTCGATCTTATGATTGTGTCGTCCCCTGGACATGTAGATGACCACGGTCAACTGACTGCTCCTTTCTCCTACCATGACCTTATTTATGTATCTTATCGCATTCGTACTCCTAAACCTAAACCTCGTTACTTGAATCTACGTAGTTACGGACGGCTGGATCTGGGGGCGTTACGGCACGATGTCAACCTGACTGACTGGAGTTCTGTGGTTGATGCTGATGATGTCGATGTGAAAGTTAACCTGTTTAACGCGTTAATTGTCGACTTGTTTGATAGACATGCACCTTTGCGACGCATGAGGGTTAGGCACGATCCGGCACCTTGGATCACTTCTGACATTACAGAGGCTATGGCTCGTAGAGACAGGGCCAAGCGGAGGTGGAAACGTAGGTCTTCAGATGAAAATCTTTCCTCTTATAAAAATCTTCGTAATCGCTGCAGTCGTCTGTGTAGGGATGCTAGGAGGCGTTACTTCGATGACAACCTGGCTAACCACAACGCTGCTGATGCCTGGAAGTTCTTGCGATCTGTGGGCATCGGCAAATCTCCTGTCAATGTCAGTAAGGATGTTGATCTTATTTCCTTGAATCATCATTTCTCCCACTCCCCTATTTCACTTGACAACCTTACAAAAACTAAAACTCTTCTCAACCTTTCCTCTCTACCGCTTCCCTCTTGTTCTCCTTTTGTGCTCTGTAGTGTGTCCGAGGGCGAAGTAAAAAAATCCATGCTTGCCATTAACTCCTCTGCAGTGGGTAGTGACGATTTATGCTCCCGTATGTTTATCCCCATCCTTGACCTCCTTCTCCCTATTCTCACTCACATTTTCAACTTTTCTTTATTCTCTTGCTCTTTTCCTTCTGCTTGGAAAACTGCCCACGTTATTCCGTTACCAAAAACAAATAACCCTTCTACCCTTTCACATTACAGACCTATTTCCATACTGCCTTTTCTCTCCAAGGTCATGGAACATATTGTTCATAAGCAGTTGACTTCCTTCCTGACGTCAAACTGCCTCATTTCTCCCTTTCAATCGGGATTTCGCCCTGGTCACAGCACGGTCACAGCTTTACTCAAAGTGACCGATGACATTCGCTGGGCTATGGACAACCAATCTCTCACTGTTCTTGTGTTGTTGGACTTCAGTTCTGCCTTTAACTCCGTGGACTTTGACATCCTGCTAGGGGTCCTGAAGGCCAACAATTTCTCTTCTTCCTCTCTGGCCTGGTTTGAGTCTTATCTTCGGGGTCGCCGTCAGAGGGTCCGCCTTGAAGAAACTTTTTCTGATTGGTGTGACCTTGCTGCTGGGGTACCCCAGGGTGGCGTCCTTTCTCCTGTTCTTTTCTCCATCTTTATTAATACCGTTGCCAAGGTCATTTCATCCAATTTCCATTTATATGCGGACGATTTGCAGCTATATCGCCACTTTGGCTTGTCCGAGGCCCATTCTGCTATCGATGCCATGAATCGTGACTTGGATGGCGTTGCCGAGTGGGCTAGGTCTTTTGGCCTGCAAATCAACCCTCTCAAGTCTCAGGCCATGATCATCGGTAGCAGATATTATCGAAACGCTCTCGACGTGTCTGGCCTTGGTCCGTTACGTTTGAATGGCACACACATTCCATTCACTGATACTGCAAAAAACTTGGGGGTGCATATCGACTCGAACCTGTCGTGGGCCTTTCAGGTGAACGAGGTTAGTCGGAAAGTTCATTTCTCCATCCACTCGCTGAGGCGCCTCCAGACCCTGCTTCCGATGACGACTAAGATTCACCTCGTCCAGGCGCTGATCTTGCCTCTCATTGACTATGCAGATGCTTGCTATTTGGATGCCACAGAGGAGCTATTAAATAAACTTGAGCGTTTACAAAATGTATGTATCCGTTTCGTCTTTGGTCTTAGGAAGTTCGATCATATCTCTGAATTTCGTAACAGGCTCAAGTGGCTCCCAATCCGTCTTCGCAGGAACACTCGCATATTATGTCTCCTCTATAACATCCTGTTCAACCCAGCCTATCCTACTTATCTCCGAGACCGTTTCTCCTTGGTGCGTCCTCCTGAAGTCCTTACTCGTTCTCATCTTAAATCCTATCTTAAAATTGTGCCCCATAATACCAACTTCTACTCCTACTCCTTCTCCGTTCATGCAGTGAGACTATGGAACTCACTCCCGCCGAACATTCGGGATGCCAAGTCAATCTCTATCTTTAAGAGACAAGTGAGAGAACATTATCTTTCCTCCTGAAATATAGATCTTTTTGTTTATATTTGTTTATATATATATATATATATATATATATGTAGGTATATTTATATAAAGGGTTTTTTTTTTTTATTTCTTTTTGTATAATAGCATTGTATTAGTTTGTTTTATTGTTTATTATTGTTATTTCTATCGGTTTCTTCGTTATTATTATTATTATTTTTTTTTTATTGTTTGTGTAACACACTATGTGTCTCAGTGTTATTATATCTTTTCCTGCCACAGGCCCACAGGAAGAGATTCCAGTTGGAATATGTGGGGCCTATGTACTCTGTTTTTATATATGTGTTGTCCTCTGTGTTGAATGTGTGTACATAAATAAATAAATAAATAAATAAATAAATAATTATTGTTGATTTAGATTCTCTAAACACTTAGATAATTGAAAAACATTTTTATTATTTAATATTTTATTTCATTATTACAAATATTACTTATTCGAAATCTTATCTAAAACTTATAAATGAATTTAATCTAATCCTTCTTTCTTCTCCTTTATGGCTTCCTGAAACAAGCATTTAGTAATCTAGTAAACGTAATACAAACCAAAGTTCTACAAAATAATATATTATACTCCATTAATATCAAAAAGGTTTCACCAATTTCGGCTGCTCATTGAAATGAAATGAAATGACATTTATTTCTGCAAATAGGTTACAAAGTAACACTTGTACATGTCAATCTTTAAATTATTAGAAGAGGGCCAGCATTTCCTAACTGACTACTCTAAAAAGAAACACCGACAAACTCAGAGGTAATTGTCTCTTTTGAAGTCCTGACAGATTATATAATGTACTAGCGACCCACCCCGGCTTCGCACGGTTGCAATATGCATGTATTTTACATATAAACCTTCCTTAAGAATCACTCTATCTATTAAAAAAACCCACATCAAAATCTGTTGCATAGTTTTAAAGATCTAAGCATATATAGGGACAGACAGATGGTGGATAGCGACCTTATTTTATACTATGTAGTGATGATGCATTAACATTACAACTTCATATAGATAATATGAAATCTATAATTGTGGATTTGGCACTATCCTTTCTTTAGCGTAATTATGGTAGGTGTGATGTTATTATCACTATTACAGATAGCATTAAAATTAAATAAAGCAGCATGCTAATTGGAAAGGCCAATATCCAATGATGGCTGAAAATAAGCTGGAAATTAATATTTACCTTAAATCTTTCTTCAAACAGTGATAGTTCAGAGGTTAAGTCTGTAATAGCATTCATGAAAGCTTCCTGGGGAGTGTAGTCAGAAGTTGTTTGGATGCGCAACACAAACTTATGTTCCAGAGGATGAGGTACCTTGTATCCCGCAAATAAGACCTTTGGGTCCTTTAGGAGTTGACTGCAAAACAAACAATATAACATAACATAATATTACGCCTTTTATCCCGGAAGGAGTAGGCACATTACGCCTCTGTACAATGTAACACCCACTTTTCAGTATTTATGTTATAAGTCCCATGTAATAGGGGTTGAGCCTATTGCCATATGCACAATTCCAGACTCTGTGCTACTACTGAGAATTTTTTAAAAACCCAGTAATACTTTGCCCGACCCGGGAATCGAACCCGAGACCCCTTGCCCGACAGTCGCGCTTGCGACCACTCGGCCAACGAGGCAGCAAAACAAACAAAAAAGTATATAATTAAATGAATCTCGAACTGATGTCTGTCTGATAAACAAACTTTTGTATGGTTAATACATACTGCCTGATCATGTTTCCAAGTGTATGATCTTCCTTGTTTACCGTAAATATAGCTGCATTTGTCACCTTTGTGTCTTCTTCCTTCTGGACCCTAAAATTGTTGTGATTTTAAAATACAATATATCAATATTTAATAGTAAATCGTCAAGAACATTATAAATAATATTGTGCTTACTTTTTTTCTCCATCGTATAAAAGAAATGATTCGAATGTTGGTGGGGCATTCATTTTAACAGCTTATTTCTACAATTTTCTATTTAAAAATCACAATCAAACTAAGTTTACAACTTGCAAGCACACGATACAAGTAAAACAATCATTGGTGACATTGACACATGATAGTTCGTTTGTTTGACAGTTTCAATCAAGCACCGTTGCCTAGAGCCATCGACTAAAGTAGAAAAAGCATAGACAAGCAGCCAAGTTAGAGGTGTGAAACTTGGCCAAGTTACTTTATTTTCAATTCCCTTCAATAATAAATGGGTGATGTTGGATAAACACTCAAAATGAATAAATAGTGAGTAATTATCCATTTTCACTTGAATATTTATCCAAAACTGTTGATATATACCCAATATCCACTTTGAGTAGTTATCTAAAATATTACTGATCTCTCTACCTTCAATACGAATGATCTTGATATGTATACCTTCATAGAAAGGGGCCCACTTCTGCAAGGTCGCTCCCACCTAGTCCCTGAATGGGGGTGGGGCTACCGTATTTTTGTTCACCAGTTAGCGCTAGTGTGAGCCTCCAGTTCTTCGTCAAATAAAGAATTAGTAAATGTCACAACTGCAGTGATTGGACATATTTCTTGCTACATTTACGCCATCTCGTGACCAAAAAAAATGAGTCTCCATTCGTAAATTCTTCGTTTTCTATAGAAAACGTCTTTTTAAACAAACACGATTGAGTGTTATTATGTGCGAAAATCGTATTCACAATACGTACAATAACTGGTCATTCAGTCAATGCGCCTATCGTGCAGTCTAAAGAAGTAATGCAGAAATTAATTAATATAGGTACCTACATCATAAAAATCCGTATTCCTGTACTTTTTTTAAACCCCACTAGATTTTCTCCTGTCGTGGGTGTTTTCACAAACATACAATTTTACATACACGTCACACCCAGACCAGAAATAACAATTTGTGGATCACACAGAGTTGCTCCATGCGTGCAGGAATCGAACCCGCTACACGTTGCACGGCAACCGATTGCCCAACTACAGCGCTAACCGTGCAGTCGAGCCATACAGATCGGGACCATCGACCACGTCATCGACGTATACCTAAGCTACGTTTAAGCTAACGTAAATTATGTATACCCTTCCAATAGTGGCGATGAGACATGCATCACCTCTGATGGATTAAATGCAGTGAATAGAGGATGAGATGTATTTATACTAAAATACATCCATTTACAATTTCGGATAACGAAATAAGGCGCACAATTGCAACTCTTTTGCAGTTGCACCTGTCAGGAGAGTAAATAAATCATAACAACTAATCCATAAATAAAACTACAGGCAGGTACAGCAGAAAACACCGTTTATTTTATAATTATGAGAGAATTTCAGATTGATAACCTACATACAGAATATAATATGACTATAAAACCAATCTAACTTGAATTTTACACGTGTCCAGAATCTCACTGTAATATTCGTAATACAAGATTTTGTAAGTATAACAATGATTTAGGTATTCAGTGTTCCTTTACAAGAAGATTACGAGACAATTTGTCGTAGGGAATAAATACAACTTTAATATAAATTCTGAAATACTTATATAGGTACAAGAAACATCCGTAAAACGGTACTAAACTATTTTAACATTTGTCTAAACTAAATTATGAAAATAACATGATTTAAAATAAATTATAAACTCTAATATAATATTATAATAATGTTTCACATCATTCAACGCCAAGCAACATCAAAGAGTCAGAAAGAATAAAGCACAATTGTGGAAATTTGATAATTACGAACATTTAACTACAAATTGAAGTCTAGCGACTCTACTGATAAACAATATAATTTGTAGAATATTAGTTTGAGTGACGCCCCTCCTCAGGGCGCGTTGTTCCGCATCATTATACACGGGCACCTCAAGCCTCTACCGGCAGATCGCAACATATCAAACTAGCTCTAAGTAAATAGCTGCTCTCCCTCCCTGAGGAAGCGAGACAGTGTAATTGCTTGCACGATATAAGCAGATCATGATACTGTTTCATGTATACTTTGAGTACACAGTGTCGGTGAAACTCCTTAATAATTACTTTAGCTGAACAGATACATAAGTAACAGGCTCGTTACCTACTTCGCTGAGCTAACTCTTGCCGGTAGACACTCGCTTACGAAGGTACCCTTCATTTATAAGAATACCTAATGATTTTCAGGAAGAATATTCACATGACACAGACGATATACAACTCTGTCTTTTAATAACATTAGTAACTATTTAGGAAAAATGTTGAAGACTTTAGGCGATAGAAAATTGTTTTCTCAATGTTTGCATTCATCACTGGGATCCTAAAATTACATTTCAAAATGTTCGTTGTTTTACAAATTCTTACCAAGCATTACTTTGATCCGTGAAGTTTAGTATTAATTTACAGAGCTACGGGTTGTCAATGAATTAGATCCGAAATGTACTATTGTTTATATACCGTTGTTATTAAACTGTGATACAATTACATACACATTCAAGATTGAAGAATACAAGTTAATAAAACATTATTCATTAAAAACAACATAAAAAGTCGAATAAGCTTAATGAACAGCACTGCAATCATTTTGGATTACGTTTAACACTTACTAGCTATCGTCTGTTATGTAATAAAACGCTATGAGAATTGACACATAAGTATATAAACTATACTAATTGTGTACGTACTTATACAAAATTAGCAATCCAATCAACAATATGCATACTATTGATTATGAAAATATCTATGCTTTACGATAATATTGAGTTTGTAAGACCGCACAGGTGTCGCGTCCCGCCAACGAGCAGGCCCGCGGCCCGTACTTGAACACGAGAACATCACTTATATGTACACTAGTAACAGAAGATACGATTGCAATATTACGATTGATATTATAAGAATAATAGAGATTATTAAAAGCTGACTAGAAGTTCGGTTATACCTACTCTAACGATTTATATCATACAAATTAGGATTGGATCGCAAGAGTTCCGCCGTGCGAGCAGCGAGCGGAACGCTTCGCGGTCCGAGGCGAATGGCGGAGCGCGCCGCGGTCGCTAGTACTTGTGCGAATGTTCCCGGGGCGGACGGCGGCGCACGCGCACTACTAACGTTACATTGGTGTCAGGTACCGGTTCCTTACTTACCTAGCATGAGATGCGACTAGCGGAGTCAGCGCGTGCCCGCGGCACTGCGCGGGAAGACAAGCGACAATTGACTGGCTAGTGGAGAGACGCGGCTGACCTCCATCGATTTAATGAAGCTACTCAGAGAAAAGGTATCACCTAATTTCTCTACTGTTACGAAGGCAACTAGATGAAATCCTACTCTTAAGGATAAAAATCTAATTATGCTATAAATGTTAAAATTAACATTGCTTCATGTTCTTAAGTAATGAACTGCAGAGAGGAGAGCGGCCGCGAGGCGGGCGGGGATTAGTGCCGTTGTCTCTCGCGGGCCGCTCCTCCACACAACAACAATATGCATAATATTATACGACTACATAATAATCCTTCGCGATAATCGTTTAATTATAACGTTATTCTCTTATAGGAAAATGCTAATATATTATGTTGGTGCTTAAATTTTCAAGTGACTCTACAATATATTATTACAAACGGAAAATACTGTTCAATAACTATTCATATATTGCTGAAGATTCTTTACTTCAAATTTATTAAAAAAGTTACCCTAGCTAAAACAGCTACATTATGTATTACTGTACAACGAAGAGCGTCTTAAAATGTATCAAATTAAAATTTATAATCACTCAACTATAAATTTGATCGAAAAGCGCCAAAAATTTCAATGAGTCGTTTATACTATGTATTATTTGAAAAGTTCAAAGTACTCTTACTGTTTATTAAAAGTTACATTCACAATAACAATTCATTATTATTATAAAGTTAACTAAACAACAACTGCATCTACTATCACACATTCGAAAGTTTTAAACAATTTTACAATTGTAATCGAACTTTATTATTGCTACGGCGACGGCACGCCGGCGCGATATGCAGTGCGCGAGCGGCCCGACACTGACCTCGACTGACTGATTGACTGACTGACCGACCGATTGACTAGCTGACCAGTTAACTGACCACTGACTGACTGACTGACTGACTGACTACCTGACACATGTCGGCCGCGCGCTTCTAATGGTGAGGTAGAACCTAACGATATCGCACCACCCCGCGCACCCAGCCCCTGCCCCATGCCCGGTGTCGCCCTCTACATTATATGCCACGTCCCGTCCTCGCCTCACAATGTGCCAACCACTAGCGGGGGTGCGCGGGCGTTACTTTCCACCTTTCCTCTAACCTATCAACGAGGTTAACTATTCACGATTAAACAGAAATTATTTGAGACTTAACGATTACATGAATGATGGTATCTGTCAAATCTTTGTATCACTTTACTTATAAATACAAACTATATTCACGCTATGGCGTCTAGGCAACCATTTAGTGATGTATATAAAAACAAGTTCATTACTCGGTCCAGATTTTCACTGGCTAATCATTATATACTTCAAGATATATATGAATAGTGAGGAATATTATAGTGGAAACCGAGATTATTAAAAGTCTAAATACTGTTATGCGTGTAGATACTAAGTATATAATGTACGTATAACTAACATATGTATATTCATTGATTATTGCGCACTAAACTATTAGTATAATTTTCATAAACAAACAGTAGTTTTTGTGTGAACGCTATCGAAACATATACGTATTAGAGCCAGCGGCAATGGTGTGGTTACGGCCAGTATGTATATATAGTTACTACCGACGATAACATCAAACATTAATGTTTCTATGACGTATCTCAGATGATAAGTAATTGAATATAGTTTGAATGTTACAGACGAACTTCTAACAACAAATAAGAGGTGTCGATACGTGTTGATGATTCGCTCTGTTGCAGAATGTTGACTGTTGCCAGGCGGGATGCAGGCACCGAAGTATGCGCGACGATTTTTCTTTGCAATGACGGTCCTGGAAATGTATAAAAACATTATTTACTAGAGCTCTAAATATTAAGTCTTACATTGAAAACGGAAAGCGATAATCTCAGGAAAGAGTTTTAAATCAACAGTTAAATGAGAGTGTTTGTCTGCAGTCGTGTGGTACATTTAGACTTCTTAGCGTGCTCGTCCCGGATTATCGCAAACTGTTAGTTGGTTTACTAATTAATAAAATACCTATTATTGCTACAAATATTGTGGTAAAAAAACATGAATGAATTTCCCATAAATATGGTTTACATGGACCTAATTTATGTTTGCTAGAAATATTTTATAAGATGGTTATAGACGACCTAAGGTCTTCAGAAACCTTGAATTTTGAATGAAAAATGGCAATTGTCGCTTATCTTTATTTGTAGAAACATTTGTAATTTGTTTTTGGAGACTGTTTCTACATAGTTTCATATGAGTTGCCTTCAAAAACAGCGACAATTGCTGCAATTATATTTCTGTAAAGTAATGTGCGTTGTATGATATTTGAGATGTAGCATTATATGACACCTAAAGAAATTTAAATGAAGTGAATCAACCTATTGATAGAGTAGAGAAAATAATGTAATGAAAACCTAGGTAGGAGTAAAAACATCAAAACAATACAAGGTGCGAAAATATAAAGAAGTGCTGGATTATAAAATAGAAAACTTGATTAAATTGTAAGTAATTAAAGTAAATAAAATAAGCGGTCAGGCAACTTCAGGATATTATATTTATATAATTTAGGATATACATAAATCGGAAAAATTGCGGTGTCATATTGAATAATTTTGAATAGTGTAATAATTTTGTATCCTATAAAATTGCACATTTTTAGGTCGTCATTATATCCTGAACTAATAGCAAATACTTAACTTACAGCAAATATAACGCTCAATATTCCGAGTAGCAAAATATAAATAATTAATATTCTAGAATATAAGAGTACAATATTATTCCTAATCAAATATTATAGTAGGAGATCCCGCCTTGAACGACCTTCACCGAGATGCTTATTTGATGAAACTTATTTTATATTCAATTTAATATGTCAATAATTATATTCCGTATGGGTTGCCTAATAAATTTCAGTCCAGAACATGACTAATTATTAATTTAAAAAATATATTTTTTCAAATGTTTCACCGGTTTGACTATTAAACAAATTCCATTTCAATCGAAAGTATGAAGCCCATAGAATATGGAAACGTTAGGTTGCCTATTGTATTCCAGTCATAACTCTCGGGTTGCCAGGTCTAAACAGGTAAATTTATAGTAGGATTTTGCAACGGTCTGATAATTTAATCAAATTTAATTAAAAATAAAGATTATTTAATTATGAACACGGTAAAGTAGGGTTGCCTGCGAAAAATCAGTCCTGAATTAGGGTTGTCGAATTTTAAAAAGTGAAATATTGCCGCGAGTGAATAGGTAAGACTGAGAGGTCCCAAGCAACCGTTCCGTGCGTTAGAAGAGGACAGAGCATAACAGCTGCTTTTTAATGCTGCTACTGCTATTTTTGTGTCATTAACAGAAGCTGCTGATAATTTCATTGAAGATAAAATAAAAATAGTTCAAGAATTTATAGCTTGTATGTACATATGGGATTAAGAATTGCACTAATGTGAATAATGCAAGATATCGCATTATTATGAAAAATTACTCTGCTAAAGAAGACAGTGAGCAGTTTCTAAAAAAAATCAAAGGCTTTGACTCTAACTCCATACCTCCGTGCTGGATATCATTACCACAAAAAGTTTTACAAACTATTTAAGTAAATTCGATGTGGCTGAATGCAACAGATCCAATATGTATCAAACTTAAACCTGAGAGCTGTGGTTGGTACTTAGATGAATATTTAAAACCACGAGGATTCATTGGGGATCATACACCTTTAAGAATAGATGATATTGTCGAAAGAAGCGAAACAGAGAGAGATGACGAAGAAGGTGCAGGTGTCGAAGATCTAAGCTTTATTTCCGATGACTCAGGAGCTGAATAATAAAAAAATATATTTCTTTATATAAACAGTGATTTTTTTAATTGCTTTTCATTTTTTTTAATAAAAATTTTTTGGGTACTTCATCGTCGTCTCGACGCCGATGGTAACCCCTCGTGCCGTTATTTGAGACCCACCCGGAGGTGTTTTTTTTAGAAACTGCTCACTGTCTTCTTTAGCAGAGTAATTTTTCATAATAATGCGATATCTTGCATTATTCACATTAGTGCAATTCTTAATCCCATATGTACATACAAGCTATAAATTCTTGAACTATTTTTATTTTATCTTCAATGAAAATATCAGCAGCTTCTGTTAATGACACAAAAATAGCAGCAGCAGCATTAAAAAGCAGCTGTTATGCTCTGTCCTCTTCTAACGCACGGAACGGTTGCTTGGGACCTCTCAGTCTTACCTATTCACTCGCGGCAATATTTCACTTTTTAAAATTCGACAACCCTAATTCAGGACTGATTTTTCGCAGGCAACCCTATTTTACCGTGTTCATAATTAAATAATCTTTATTTTTAATTAAATTTGATTAAATTATCAGACCGTTGCAAAATCCTACTATAAATTTACCTGTTTAGACCTGGCAACCCGAGAGTTATGACTGGAATACAATAGGCAACCTAACGTTTCCATATTCTATGGGCTTCATACTTTCGATTGAAATGGAATTTGTTTAATAGTCAAACCGGTGAAACATTTGAAAAAATATATTTTTTAAATTAATAATTAGTCATGTTCTGGACTGAAATTTATTAGGCAACCCATACGGAATATAATTATTGACATATTAAATTGAATATAAAATAAGTTTCATCAAATAAGCATCTCGGTGAAGGTCGTTCAAGGCGGGATCTTAGACTATTAGTATGCAACCGACTCATGCAAATTTCAAACCCCAATGTCTATAATTATGTAATATACTTTTGTAGTGTCCAATATAATGGCAGATCGATCAGATCGGCGTCTAAATAATAAAGCATGGCTTTATCGAATGATATAATCTACTCAAGTCTCGTAAAGTCTAACTAGGGATGCGGTCTATAAAGCCCAGTTAAATGTTGCGCATCAAACCTGCCCCCGTGCCCCGTTTAGAAGAATGTGTTATACACGTAGCCAGTCGCAATGAGGCCGAGCACGAGCAGACACAGCATTATCATTATCTTCTTCTGCACAGTGGACAAACACAACACACATTAGTACTAGCGGGGACGGCGAGCGACGCGGGCGGACCCGCTCGCTCGCCCGCACTTACGGTTACCTTTGAGCATTTGGCGATCGAAGTACGAGAGTGGCCGCTCAAACCAAATAGCTGGACACGTAGCCCACGATGACGATGCCCAGTATGAGCAGGCACACTAGGATCATGATCTTCTTCTGTAGCCCGCGAATGTGAGGGCCGACCATGCAACAGTACGCTTTATACGTGGCTCGCGGCACCGGCCGCTTGCACTCTTATACATAGCATTACCATACATATCACATTAATACTGCACTATGTAGTCATTGGCTTCCTTCGTACAGTCAGGTGGGTGCGTCATTTGCCTTGCACAATGTTATACATAAGTAAATAAGGTGTTAAAACCAAAATAAAATAAAAATTGAAATAATAAATATAAATGTAATTTTCGAAATTATAAACATATTTACAACATGAGTAGTTTTAAGATTAGAATTAATAAACAACTTTGTAACACGCTGTTTGATGGAGGGGCGTTAATCTATTACTTATGATATATTAAGAAATAAAACATAACTTCTATTAAGGTCTCAACATAATTAAGTAATTAATCATCAATAATAATTATGAAAATGGCATTAAATTATATTTCACAGTCTTTTATTTAAATAAATAAGTGCGCAAGCTAAGTGAAATATACGGGCAAAGTTGAGCTAAGACAGTTACACTTTCAATTAAACGAATATTACAATTTAATCACAGTTATATCATTGTGCTACGTAAGTATAACACAAGACTTTAATAAGTGCAACAACATATTAAATAAACTAGAGGTATATGTTCAATTTGTGAAAATATCATCAAAATGCTATTAATAAATGCAAAAACGTAATTACATGTAAAACAGTAAATGGACGCCATATTCACTGTTCGGAAAGAACATTCCAGTAAGACTGAACACACAACAATTGTAATACAGATATAAATAAACAAAAAGAGAACCTAATTTGTTTGTAACAATTGAAAGAGAGAATTCAACATCACACACTGTACAATGTACATAACAACGAACAGATCACCTAAACAATACTTTACAAGTATCATTTGAAACATATCAAGTAAGATTCACTAGTTATAGTGAAACAAATAATGTAGACAGAAGCCTCAACGAATACTAAGAAGTTAAAAGTATATGAACTTAAACTAGGTAAAATACTGGTCACTATATCTTTGATATTGACTTGTTGAGGACTCAGTATGTCTGTCCTTGACTCCTGTTCTTGTATCTTGTACCATTATAAATTGTCAAAACCTTTGTGCGATTATAACTTTTACGTGTTTAAATTTAGAGACTATAATCTGCGAGCAAATGGCTTTACAAGAATATAGAGAAAAAAGCTATTATAATATTATAAATTCACCAACGAACTGCATTAAATAAACTTTAATAAGTAGTTAACAAACCGCGTAAAGCTAGTAAATATTTAGTAATATAATAATAATTAATATATTTATTTCAGTGTAGCTAATAGTAATAGGGCAGAAAGAAGTCGAATAGAAACACTTGTGTACTTCAATAATAGTGCCCTGTATAGGTACTGTGATGTTTTGACTAATATATTTATGAGTTGTATACTTATATACATTCATTAATATTAAATATGTTTATATGATATAAGACAGCCTGGTAATACCAGTAAAGCTAATATTAATATTAAATAACTTACAAATCTAAAGCACAATCTATATTATTGCACTTTACACATATTGTCTTCGAACTTTACCGTAGTTGACGGCAAAACAATTAATCCTGTTTAGTTATATTATCAAATTATACAACGGTGCTCAAGTACTCAAAAAGGCTGTGTTACAAACTTTTATTGAATAGCACCTTGTAGATGGCGCTGCGTACGCTTGTCTCCAATGTCTTCTCATAGCGTAAATGTACTCTTTAATAATTGAATATAGTCGTAATATAATGTTTGTGTATAGCACATAAACTAGATTAATTAATAAAGCAGAAATAATCTAATTAATATCATAATACAGCCTTTTTGATAAATCTTAAAACACAATGCACTTGCCTTGCTACATCCATGCACGTCTGTTGTGACAATTACAACAACAATTGCTGTGTTTAAATAATCAAGCAAATATATTCAGATAATATTATCGTATTTAATGTAGCTAGGGTCTACATTTGACTCAATGGTATACAAACGAATATCAATGTTGGATGTATGTGGTCACAAACCAACTGAATTCTTTCACTTAGTCCATGGAGGTCCGACAGTGGTGACGTCACAAGCCGGTTGTCTTCGCACGAAGTTTAACTCAGGGCAATCGCGAGCACTATTATTAATATAACCAGCGTAACAGACAGGCATATTATGATGAAGATTTTTTTCTGTAATGATAAAAAACAAAAGAAAAACAAAATAAAATCGCTGCTATGAATATTATACCAAGTGAATCGACAACTTTGGATCTTCAGTTAATTAGAATAAGATTGAAAATTCAAACTGCTAAAGTTTTAACTAAGAAAAAAGGTTGTCGATTATTTTTTTTTTAATGAGTTTGTGTCAAATAGTATTTTTGTTTATATCATGCTAGGTAGTATAATTACAATGATAATAACATTACTGACTTGGATGGCGATACTCACATCATTTGGTTGATTTACATTTTAGTGTAAGTTGCAAAATATGAAACAAACAACCAACACTATAAACAAAACATAAATCGGCTAGACTTACAGTGAACTAAATGTTTCAAAGAGGTCGAAACTATAGTTCGCAACACGATGATACATTTTATTTGTCTATTTAATAAAATAATAATAAAATGTATGTGGTGCATGGACTCATACGTGTCCTCAATTTTGTATGTATTGTTTTATTAGTAATATTTATGATATCCTAAAATTAATTTTCCTTAACAAATTAAGGAAATATTATCAAGAACATTTAATGGAACCTTGAAAACATGTCATACAAATGATTGCATATTTTTCCTTAGAAAAAAACAATGTCTTGTTTTTCTAATATAGAACGGAAATTACTTGTTTAATGTAGCTGTATGTTACATATTGATTCACTGAGAACTAGCCGACTCATGTTTCGCATATAAAATTGCTATCAACACCGGAAGCAAGTGACAACACTACACACATATGCCGCCACCAACACGACACAAGGCCGGATACGACATGATTCTAAACTTGAATTTGAAAACAATGCTGGCTGTAATGAAGGCAAAATAGAACTACTTAAAAACTCTATGAAGGCTTGTAGTAGAAAAAACATATTCGACCTTGTTTGCGACACCAAGTCTCTATGGTACAAAAGAAGGCAGTAAGCTGTGAACTAGATTTATGCAATGCAAGTTCCTTCATTCCATTACATAACATTTCATGCGGCCTAAATGCATGTTAAATATCAGTGTTTTACACACGAAAACGATTATAACTGCATGTCTAGTAAACATAAATATTCTCTCCTGCAAAAAGTACAGAAACAATTTTTTTAATATTATTAACTTTTGTATAGGAACGAAGGAAACCGACTTTCCAATTCCCATGTTTGACTTAATTAAACATGTTATAGGAATTGAAGAGTTAATGAATTGATAGTTTCAGCATATTTTGTCATGAAAATGAGTTACGTTGAAAGCTGATTTACATGATTGTTTATATTTTATATTAAGTCAGTCAAATGTGCACCCGAAACCGTGCAGTCAATCACTTTTATAAACATTATCTGACTGGTACTTAGATGTATGATTCACATGTATATTAAATCGTTTACAAAATGCATAAAGTGCAAAACCAACTTCAAGATAATTTCTTACAGACTGAGTTAGAGGGGATTTTGGTATTAAAGTTGAATGAATCATGTTTATTTCAGATGTTTGAGTCTGTTTCTTTTTCCAATCAAAAATTATTCGAGGCTTTCATGCAGCATGCTTTAGAAATGCAATTTCAATAGGACATTAATCTTGTAAATAAAATATGCAATTATTGTTTAAGTATGGAAATGAAAATTATAATGAGTAAATCAGTTGTGGTCGACAGTCGATAGCACGTTACAGATGTGGCCCAATGTTGTTTGAGAAGTCTCTGTTAGGTAGCGCCTCACCCCCAAGATCCGTACAGTAGTAGAAACGTTGTAGGGTTTCGCAGTTTAGTAACAGGCGGCGGCTGAGCCGAGGTTTAGTTTGTATGTGTAGCATTACCTTCCGCGCCTTAGTGGCGTACTCGTCGGCCTTGCGTAACTCGACGCGGCCGTACTCGACGTAGTCGGTGGCTTGCGTGACATGGTACTCGATGCGATCTATGAGCTCGCCCTGCTGTGCTAAGGGGACGGCGCGGGGAGGGGAGGGACGCGACAACGTACCGCGGCTAGCGACACCCACGGACGATTGGTTCATACGATTTTATACAAATCCCCAAAGTCAATATCGTGTTACAGGAGCCGACCAAAGTGGAGCTGCAGCGAAACGTTAATAGGTAGTTATATAGAATTATATTAGGTGTATTAAACCCGTTGATTAGCCACAGTATCAATTCCTATAGACGAAGTTAAATAAAAGTTTAAAACTAAAAGCACAAACAGACACACGTGTTACAATGTAATGACATTCAGTGTTAACCTAGTAATTGCACGGTATGTTATATTGTAAGTTTATGACATTCCTTATTTATGATACACCAAACAGTTGTTACATAATAACATGTTAGAGATTAGTAATAAATACAGTTATTATATAACAAGGACGACCATATACAAAAGGCAAATTACGCACACACCAATGAAGTCATAGATTAGTAATACACAGAGTAAGGTACAAGATTAGGTAAGAAAGCCCACTTCAACCGTTTGTTAGTTGAGCCGAATGAACACAACAGTCAAAGCACATAGTGTACACACATTAATGGAAGGAATGAAAACACAAACACGAGTGAACCAATCACCGTATAATCATTAACAAAATGCAGGTTCAACGAATCAAATCATACACAATGAAACAAAATGGAGTAATGTCGGAGTGAGGACGGGACCCGGACGAGGGACAGGGAGAAACAAAACAAAAACAAATTAGTAAAGAATGAATCTTCATTGAAATGATCACTCACCCGTCGGGCTTTGCTCTGATATTTTAGGGCCTTCTTAGTGTCTTGTGTGGCAGTTTGGACATAGTCCACAGCGTGTTCTACATGATACTCAATGCGGTCGATCATCTCTCCCTGTATCCATACGAACAAGTTAGTATCGTCTCTCTACAGGGAACTACTAACAAACTACTTTCTACATTCGTCTTGGGACCAGACTGTGAGTGTATCAGATCTAACGCGGAAACTTTTAATAATATTTTCAGTTATTGTTGCAGGCAGACTTGCTTGGCCGCATTTACAGAGGCCTTAGTATGAGTTTGTTTTACGTTTACAGTAATCGTTACGAGTACGCGTTAAGCGCTCTGATTGGTTGGTTGGTGCTGGCCAATCAGAGCGCCGAACGCGTACTTGTTTCTAATACTATAAACGTAAATCAAACTCGTTTCTAATACTTTAAACGTAAATCAAAAAGCCTCAGATTAAATAACGAATTCAAATAGCCACCCTCTTCTCGTATTGGTAGAAGCTTAGCTTTTGTTGCGTGCAACAACCGCTGTGCCCGAAACTCTGTAAATAAGTAAGAACGCATTGTGTAGCGTTTGACCTGGCTCTCGACTAGCATCGCCATGTCCATGAACATGTCGTGGAGCTCGCGGATGGAAGTCTCCAGCTTGATGATGTCGGCGTGCCGCGCCTCGATGTCGGCCAGCGTCTGCTTCGCCTGCTGGGTCTCCATTATAATCTGGAAAATGCCGATCAACAAAGTCAGAATAAGCCTTCAAGGAAGTTTCATTTTTTGTTAATTCTATGATATCATCGTTAAAATTAAAACCATTAATAATTGTGTTGATAAAGTATAATAATGTAAGGAAGTTTTGATTGAGTTAGGTTTGATATTATCGTTACAGTCGTAGCCATTATGTTCGCGTATCAGAAGGAATGCGAATCTATTGTAAGTGTTATTTAGATCCTATATCTAAATGCCGCCCTCATTATTGTAGGAAAATCATACCGTAGCTATTAATTTAAATATAGATGCTTATATCATGAACATAGATACATATAAAGGCACACGAGTTTGTAAATGTATTTTCAGCCGAAACATTTTACTGCATTGCACGCTATTGATTATTTAATTACTGATCAGAGGACTACGCTAATTGCTATGCAGCTACGGCTAACGCTGGCAGAATGTAAAATATCACAGCATAAAATAATAACCATTCTGCGTTCATCAAGTGACAATAGATTAAACATTCACGAATCCAGGACATTTTGTGGAAATATCAAATGATTTATAGAGAATTGTGTAGTTATAAGTACTAGAGTTAGTTTATATAGTAATTTATCGATTGTTGAATTATAAATAGATTCTCATAAACTTAGTCGTACATTAACATTCGTGACGTAACAATACTGGCTAACGCGCCTCAAGCCCTCAATCGAACCGTCTGGACAAACTATAAGATACTCGAAGGAAATGGATTACTATCGTGTTCATAATTTCACATACGATGATCTAGCAATTTGTTACAAAGTACATTACTATTCGTAAATGTATCTATTTATTATAGCAGGTACTCTACACTAATCAAGACCCCGTATTTCGTAAAGTGAAATCTGATACAGATGGTTAGAGATTGCGATTTCATAATTAATTGACAAATACTAAGAGAAATACGCTGATTGAAATCTCGACTCTTCCAAATACGGCCATGATGGACAACGACCTCCTAAAACCTCTTCCGACTAATCGTTTGAACAGGCAGAATGTGTGATACAAGATAGATGAGCCACAGGACTCTCCAATCTGTTTAGTGTTTAGTTTTGCGACTGATTACAACATTAAGTTCATAACATAAAGTGTACAGATGAATTGTATGAAGAATCTGTATAATTTAATTGTCTAGTTTAGAGCGGAAATGTCGCGTGTGGTATGAGTAACTGCCCCACATATTCAGATAACGTCACACCTGAGTAATTATGCCCTTCTTAACACAATAACAGTCCTCCAAAATGTGCCGCAAAGGCTTGGCAGTGCCGCGTATCTCCCGCAGCCAATTTGTCAAGTTTTGATTTAGTGTTGCAACTTGGCAAGAGTTACAATGGTAATCCTTTAGGGGTTAGTGGGTCCAAAAGTTTGGAACGTAAAGCGTGAGTTACAATGCTTCCCAGGAAATATGAAATAAGAGAAAAATTAAACAGACATTTTGTTCTTGACAGTGAGAAAGAGCATTTTCATTTGTACCAATGCAGAATTCAGAAACGTTTGATATGCAGCGCAAAAACGTTGGCAATAGAATACACTAAGTAAAATGCATGAATACTGACCCCCTGTGTGAACACTGCCGAGTTGCCCTGCTCCAGCATCTCCTCGAGCTCGTCGTCGGTGGTGGCGCGGCCGGTTATCTCCAGCTGCCGCTGTATCCTGCTCTTGCAGCGATCTCGGTAGTCGGTCTGCGTGCGGTTGTACTCCGTCATCACCTCCACGAACTTGCGTGACAGCGTCGAGTGCTGTGTCTTTCTTATCCTCAAATCCGCTGACGATTTATTCGAGTGCTCCTCCTGCTCGATGTTCTGCTCTATGTCTGTGGATTGGTTGAACCAGAATACAGAGCCGTTTCCAAACTCCAAACGTCCACAAAAATAGAACAAAAGACTACGGAGTACGGATAGACTATGGCTAAGTTGCAGTGCACTTACGTTTTAACTTTCCTCTGACTTTGTTGGCAGTTTTCTTAACGTCGGCCATGAGATCTTCCAGTTCATGCTTTGTTTCTGAAAAATAAAATAGGCTTTGCTCAGAAAAATGTTACTGGAACGACGATATGTTGAATAAAATAAACATTGTTTTATTCAGCTGCAGCCAGTTTAAAACGTCAGGTGGTTCATGCATAATACAACTCGTTATCTTCTATGTAGTAAGTAATATAATTTTCGGTTTGATTGCGAGCTGAGTCGCGTGGGTGCTCTAATTGTGTATCTAGTAATCGAATTCGCTAAAACGATCGATACTTTGATACAACGGACAGTGGAATGGATTTGCATAGGCTAAATAAATATTTAACGCGTTCTAGCAAATGCGTTGTATTTTATTTTAGTTCAATATTTCAGACGGGTAAAGCCGCCTATTGATGTGTGTTTCAGTTCAGGTCTCGGAAGGACAGTAATAAATATTTTATAGACGTAGGCCATTCTATTAGACTTCTGTTAGCTCGGGTAACACAATGACATAAAGTTCCTGCAGCAAATAAATAGTGATTATATCTACTTATTAACCGTGTCTAACAATGACATAGAAATACTATGCATTTTACAAAAATATTATTCAGGTTTTACTTCTTTTACTACTTCATTTTATGTTACTTTAGGCAGTCTCAAGTGAACCAAATAGAGTAACTAAAAATAAACATTGAATCAATACAGACCACGACCGAAAATCTTGTACGCACGTTTATTTGGTTATCAATCAAAGTCTGTGTTCCTACGTGACATTTCTACGTGATCACGTCTCTTCAAGAGGTTAATCGGCTTAATAACAACCCGTCGTCCCTATCCTATGTCTGTTTCGACGAGGGGAGCAATACAATTAGCAATATAGTCCATGGGATAAGTGCACAATCTATACCGTGTCTACAACAACACGATAACGACAAAATGTCTGCAACAAATTGCTTTGAAAAAACCTTTGTTCTATCGTTTTAAAATGGTTTCTTTGTTGTCTGTCTCAAGAGACACATTTGCTTAAATATCAATTAGAACAACGTTTTAAAAAGAATTTTAGTTACTACTTGAAATCTTTATTCAAATTTCCAATTGTAAAACTCAGACCACGATGAGCATGTATCATTTTCGATTCATGAAATGTGTCTCGGTATCGAGATCGATTTCCTCAGGCATCACCATAACGACTTTTCCTGTGTACCACGTGGCGGAAATTGCACTTCCTCGAACGAGCGAGGGCGTTGAATATTTACCAAAACTGTGACTAATCGAAGATAGGAAAAACAATCATTTGTAGGTATTGATAATACAATCGTGAACATACAACAGACTAGTCCCTCGGGCATGGATTTGACACAACTTGAAGCCAATTTGCATAAACTATTTTGTGTGCACATTCGAGAACGCGTGAATAAATTGTCCATAGCTGTGAGTTACTGAATATTCAGTTAGCTTTAGTTGAATTTTGAATTTCTAGGAGATACACTGCACAAACATACGGCACAACGTACAAATTGTCGCGCGCGTGTAGACGATACTTTCCCGGCAATGTTGTTTCAGAGCGGTTCCCTAGTGGGGTATTATCACCTGCCGGTGCCTAGCATTATGTTCTAAAAGTTAACACCGCCGCCGTCGGAGCTCGAATCCCTTTTAAGCTCGAAGGTCGTGTCATTTTGGGAGTATTTAGTCACTTTAGTGTAAGACTTTTTGGAGAATATGCGAGTGCTGCCTACTGGAATACAGTTCTATAGGTATGTTACCAAGAACTAGAAAACTTACCTATATGAGCAATTTTATTAATTGAACTTCGTGCACGTAAAAGCTACATGTAAACGTTCTATAACACGCTCATAAAAATGAGGCCATATAGCACATATTTTGTACGTGGTAACTAAGTAAGAAAGTGCACACCGCTGAATATGAAAACAATTTTATGTAGAGCACAAAAATATCTCTGAAATTCTTTTTCATTGAAGAAAGAATTCCATTGAAATAATTTACCTGGCCCGCTCCGTGTAGACAACGCAAAAAATGCTTCCAAAAGGAAATCCAATTTTTCGTATCGCTGCCGATTCATTTTGAAGTTGATCCTTTCTATTCTATAGATTTAAGATTCTCTCTATACTCGTATATTATGACAAGGTATAAAGAACGTTGGCATAAGAATATGTTACTTCAATCTAATTTATCTAGCTTGACTTTTGAGAGATAGGTAGTGCCTTTCATCATGTACATCATAAAACCCAAACCGTAGCGATACTATAGTCAAGTCAAGAGAAATGTATTAAAATAAATATACATGGTTACTCTCTGGCTAGATTGTTAGGAGATTCTTGAAAAAGATCGTATAAGCTCTGTAGTCCATAATAAGAATAACAATAAGGTTTGTGCAAAGTTACAATGGTATAATATGCTACACATAAAATTGCGGCACATTCTATACTTATGCTATAACATAATGGTTCTTCATAGTGCATAATTATTTCAACAAGATTGCGTTGTAACTCAGCTCCTTCAGAGTTTACAAATGCGTTACGTATGTCGTAATTAAAAGTGGAAAATGTAAAGGTTCGTTAGCGCGATAAAGCACGGCGAGCGATGCTCAACATGTGTATCACCTGCAGCTAAGCGTGTCTCGTTCACACCAGATCGATTTCATTCACTGAGCACACAGCTCATTCATAGCCACACCATCAATCGTGACTTGTTTGCCTCTTTCGTTCGCCGACAACTTTATTTTCCTTCATGTAGAATGGATGTGATGAAGGTAATTCGCTGTGTATTTTAATGACAAAGCGATTTTTTTTTTGGCATATTTTTTATACAGAAATATTACGTGTTTTTTTTAGACAGAGGGTGTATTTCTACACCCACTTTTCGCCTTTGTGTACAAATAAGTGGGCGAGCGTCTGACAAACTCACCCACACTGGGTACTGATACAGACGTGATGTACCTACTGACAACACAGAAAATCTAGGCCTACGTATCTAACAACGCAGCTTTAGAACTTTAAATCAACAAGGATTATGTCTGTTGAATATTATAGTGAATTTCTTTTGTAGTATTTTACAGATATTTCCTAACATAAACCTATTTGTAAATGTCGTAAGTTTCTACAGGTTGCCAAGTTTATATGTATGTAAGTAAGCTCGCATGATGCGAAATAAATGGAGCAACATACGGTCCCGTGGGAATGAAATATACAGACGTTCTTAGACATTTTATCGGCAAATACGTCAACATGTTGCATCAATTTGTACAACTTCGGAATCTTACAAAAATATAAAAATGGGTACATAGCAAAATATATCTTTTATACACAGGCATCTGCCATGATAGTTAATTGGCTTGTTGCGAAGAGAAAATAATGAGCGGACCGTATTGTCCAGATTGTGGCCCAATGTTTCAAAATCTCATTAGTTAGGGACTCAAGAATTTAGAAACAGATGTATCCGATTATAGCTACATTGCCCAACCTGGCAGTTATATATATTTTTATATTGTTCATAACTCCTTCCTTATAACAAGAATATAAAACGATATTTCATATTGGAGTACGGAAACCCGAAAAGGGCAACTTTATAATAAGGCCCATCCACTTCCTATTAACTTAAACGATTAACGCATGAATTACTTTGGAGTGAAGCGATGGCGTTGCTAAGCTTAGAAGGTACAAATTGGAATGTTTTATTACAATAAACGTATAAACTGTTATCGTGAGCTTGTTCGATATTAACGACAGAAACGATGGCTTATTCGGTGCTATTTAGGTCGGGTCAATGGCTAATCGGGGCTATTCGTGACGCTCCTGCTGAGGGTCCCTTGTTGTCGAGTGAACTGCTATATAGGTGCCGTGTATACCAAAAATAACTTTATTATATACAACATCAATTTTTGGAGCCATAATGCACGTAAACTTAACCCTCTCTAAAATATTATCAGAATTTATGAGTTTTATTAAAATTTCTTACTGTCAACCCCGCTAAAATGGAAAGTACACGAAGGAATTCTTTTAATTAAAGCTGAAAATATATAAACAGGGTGGAAACTGTTAAAGTATTTGAAGCCGAGCCAACGTCGACGAAATAAATTCGAACTAATCTCGCGACAAAATCAACAAACAAAGCTATCGTTAATTCATTTTGCTGCCATACATAACACGAAAACATTTCAGAAACATAACTATGTTGGTATATTGCTTCGTGTTAGATAAAAGAATAAATGAATTCGAGTGGACTGTAGATTATATTTTAATTAATATAATACATACAAAATACTTTTGCAATGTATGAAATAGAATCACTTTATTGCATGGAAAAATAATTGTTTCATTTATGTATTTTCATAAAACAAAAGTATGTTCAATTACATGCAGGCAAATGTCATTTCAGTGGAATAATAAAAGCAGCTTCATTTAATCTTGTATTCCCATGAAAAGCAGACAGATAGACCGCCCCCACGTCTACACAAATGCCACCAACTTCGCCCTTTCAATTAATGTGTGGGTATACTGCGAGCTAAGTTGAAACCTACCCACGCATTGCTACAGCAATTCCAATAACCATGGTAGTCTATGGAGCAAAACATTTATTTTTAGACTATCAACTTTCGAAGAGATTCATTGAGCAAGTGGGAGGAATGGGAGCGACAATATAGCACTATGTTTTGAACTTTTACCGCGATAAAAGGAAAAATATTTTCGCGGAATTGTCAGACAATACAATTTAAAGTTGGTGGTGCATAAGAAATACATTTTATACTTTATATTATTTAACTTACGCGCCATAAAATACAGAAAAACAAAAGAACGTGTGTAATTCACGGTCTTTGAGTACGGTCACAATAGGTTGCCGTGGCAACCCGTCATTACGTAATGGCCTTAATAAGACCCTTAAGAGGTGTCATTACGACTACTCATTGAATGCAGGTAATCTCAGCCTTGAGGAGGCAGAACTACCAGTACTTAACTTGGAAACATCCATCATCTGCAAAGTTGTGTATCAAACAAGGATTATGACAAAGTCCCATACAGGCTTACAACTTTCATGGTCCGCAGTAGTTGAACGTGGTTGTCGTTTAGTAACACCTACAACTAAAGTTACTAGAGACGAGTGTTGGAACTTACTTTCATCTGATTGCGGTGCTGATAGGATGGCACTGTGCTTCTTCTTCACTTCTTCCACGTTCGCCTGAATCTTATCTATCATCTCTCGTATCTCTTCAACCTGAACAGAAAAATATATGACATTAGGTTTATTGAATTCCGCCAAAGGTTCGCAGCGTCTTTATGAAAACATTTTTGGATCAGGATTTGATTTGGGACATATAGGCGGTACAAAGGTATCTAAATAAACTGAATGATATAATGTAACATCAAGTCATGAACCCTGAAAGGTAGGCGGAGATATATTCGTCCTTTTATTCTTAGGCACAATATTAGTGTTGAAGACATAGTTAACCTCTATTGAGGTCGGACTAAGTTATTACTGCGTCATGTATGTTGTCATAAAAACAGTTCACGTCATAATTTTGATCAATGGGAATCTTTCGGAGAATAAGTATGACTGAGAAATCTTATTTCGTTAAGTAACATTGTAAACAAAAATATTTGTTTATTTGTAATTCCCATGATTTTTGTTCCCGATAATATTTCATATCAGGTTGATAAGTGGTGATAAGTTATCCGACTGATACAGGAACTTTCTTTATCGAGTCGCTTAGATAATAAGCACGGACCTAAAGGCCTAACACGGAATTATGTAAATAAATCATACGAAGTATTTAGCATAGATTTCATTATTTCATCAGAAACAAGTACTGGACAGTGAATCATACAAGGCAAAAAGATAAATGAGACGACAATGTGCTCACGTTTCATATTAACATTTTCGCACCTTTTGTATAGCGTTTAGTCTGCTCATTAATTCTATACTATCGCCTGACTAGCCATCTTTTAGCGCAGAGTTAATTACTCATCAAGTTGGAGCGATGAGGCTATTTTTTCTGGAGCAGTGCAGTTCGCCGTTTATCTCTGTATCGGGCTTAAAGAACGTCTCGAAGTCTAGTCGTAGCGGCGCGGCGTTGGTTCTCCTGGCACGAAGCCAGCTGATACACCCTGACCTAACCTACTATAGCTACAATTCTTGACAGAAATCTTTTATATATTGAAAAACTTGAGGACGAATGGTAACAATTATGTTTAAGTGGTAAAAGCTAAACTTTTCCTATCTTAGCAGTGTGCCCGTGAATGCGACAAATTCTTAAAATTTGAAAATATAAATCAAACTAACCACTTTATATCATGAAAATCAAGTATTCATTCACGTTTAGATTCGTAAGACGAATTCACGAAGTATTTAATTTAATCAAAACATGACGGAATAAAAATATCTTCAGCTCAAACTGTTCCGTTTGGAAGTAAAATTCCATTATTAAGAAAAAGATTTCTTTAGGGGACGGTAAATAATTGAATAAACAAACCCAGCGTAATTAGCTGACCTACATTACTTCGCGCCCTTTCCCGTCGTCATTAATTAAGAGAAAAAAGGTGAACACAATAAAAAAGGACAATGTCAAGTTTAGACAATTAACAGTTATTAAAAAAGAAAACAAGGTTTAAAATAGGACTAAGCTGGTGTTAACTAATTGGTTGAGATAGCTTTTCGAGCCATGTTCAACATTAAATTTGCCTTAGGGAGATTACTGGCTGAGGTCCAACCGCTGAACAAATACTCTGGGTTAGTTAATCTACGTTAACTTTAAAAAGAAATTAAAATAGCTTGCCATTTCTTAGTCTAAACAACTAATTTTGTAGAGGTATAAAATTGCACCAGTCATTGCGAAAACATTTTATCAAGATTGAATCAATAAACACAATAGGCAGCCCTGAATCATCAGAACAGAAACGGATTCAAAAGAATAAATTATTAAGTGACTGAACGGAAGGAAAATTTGTAATACCACGAGGTAAATACTGGAATAATATGTAAGTAGGTACACGGTTGTTTTCAGGATAACTCTTAAATCACACTAACGTAAATGGGAAAAATATTTAAATTAGGTAAATATTACTTAGCCTTAGCGTTGAATACAATTATTAGTGTCTGAAAATATCGTTCATTCCTCTATTCGTAGCACCGTTCGTAGAGATTGCAAATGAATTCATTTATTGAAAAGGAGAAAAATTTTGCTAATTATGTAAAATTAAATTAAATAATCAATGTATCGGTCATTGTATCGGGTAGATTGATAACTAAAAGTACGGTTCAGGGTCGAGAATGCGGTTGAGTCGATAGGAGAACGTCCGTGCCCGGGTCGTGCGACACTTCATATCATGACTCACCAATTAATCAGATTAGCCCGATAACCGATATCGTTTAGCTAGCAGCCGATAGCCAACTTAACGATTATTCTAAAGTCTACGATACCATTGTTTAATAACGGTATTCGTATTTTATCGATACCCGTCTAGACTAGTGGCTATGTGATCCCATTAAATCAGACGTCTCAATAAATTGTAATGACCGCATGAAAATTTGAAGCGGTAAGTATATGAAAATTCTATTAAAATAAACTAAAAACGTAGTTCGAAATAGAGGTAGATTAATTAAGGATAGTCTGACAACTATTTATAACAGGATTTAAAATACATGTCCAATCTCATTACTATAATCCGTTTCGTTATTTCAACTCGTACTTTCTACTTTCGATTCGATTGGTAGAGTAAAAAAGGTCGGCGCCGCCGCCACCACTGAAGTAAAAACGTGATCCATTAATTCTACGAGAGTCGCAAGTTAGAAGTACGTATGTAAGCTGAAATGGAGTTGCAAATGGGGCCGCAATGTAGGCTTCAGCTAGCTCTAGTATTAATATGAGGCATTTTACTCATTAGCCCGCTGGTGTACCGTCATTTCGCAAAGCTACGAACTGCTTTAGTCGTAATTACAAAAAAATTTCGTTGAACATCAGAGTTAGCACAATAAATGAGTGACATTGTTTTACCGGTTTTTTTTTTAAAATACATTTCCAATTTGACATTACTTAAACTCCAATACAATGACAATACCAAAATTCAAAGTTCCGCTTCACAGTACATTACTTTTCTTTCTCAATATTATCAATGGATTTATCGAGGCTATTGCTGAAGAAACGCAATGGAACGTGAATGGGAGCTCGAAGCCTTGTGTTCTCAGCATAAAATCGTGGATGTTTTGGTTAAATAAATTTGTGAGTCACGATTATGCAGATCCAGTAATGTATGTAGTTTCATAAGATCGTTTTATCTGCATGCATAAAATATGCCTGAGAGGATGTTGACACTTATTTAATATGTATTTCTAAATGAGTAGAACGAGTGATACTACCATGATTAGTACTCCATATGTGGATTAATTGCTAGACGTTGAGAAATGTATGTGTTATGACGTAATTAAGTTAAGTGCATCCCTCGTTCCGGTTACCACGAGTCCACGATATAACACATCTCTCATCCCCACATAATAACATGTAAATGAATCGCACGATTATGATGAATACCAAGCACAGCCTGAATATTTATGACACAGTTGTGTGTTGTGTTGTGAATTAAATGAAAACGCGTGAAGAATTCACGTCACGAATAAAAACTGGCGACGACTCGTATTTTTTTATTGTATTCCGTATCTGGGTGTAAAGTTAAAGACGGGAAGGAAAATTAGATATATCCCTGGGGCAGTCCACTGCCTCATTGAGAGACGACGCCGGTTGAGAATATAGCATTAGCATTTTTATACCATTCTAAAACCATTTTGGTACTAGGGTCTGAAAGATATTTATTGTTCCCATTAGTATTATATTAGGTACCTGTCATATAAATGGAATGGAAATACGTTTTGGCTCAGTAAAAACTTACGATAAAAACGAAATGATAATATTGTAACTTCTAAATACAAGGAGAATAAACTGATTGCTAAAATATTTAAAATGTCTAGTGGTGCGATGCATCACACCACTTTGATGTGATATTTCGAAATGCTAATGTCTGTGATATAACGAATAATATAAGAATTCCACAACAGGTTTCATTCCCACCATTTAATTTAAGTAGTTGCACGATAATATCGATTGCAGTAATGGTTCGCTTCTTTGTTAGGCTTAAATGTGGGAGTTTGTGGAAAATTACCTGGCTGCTTTAGAGTGCTTAGTGATTACCAATTAGCTGCAGGCATGACCTATTAAGAAAATTAAGTCCGTTGCGGCTCGTGTCTTAATTCTAGTTAGTACGATTGATTACTATTGGATGACAACTTTTACAAAAATGCTCAAAACTTATGCAGCAAGTTCGGTAATTAATTATTGTCACTTCATAGTCAATTTATTGCAATATTCAGTACGAAGTCGGAACTCAACCATCTAGTCGTAATGTACGACAAGCAAGTGTGTTTTAAATAATACAGTTAAGTAATCGATACAATTGAAATAAATCTACGTCTTTAAACATAACTATTAACATTCAACTCACTGTTAAACACATATTTTATTCATAAACTTTCATTTTGAATATTGAAATAGGTGTTTGTGGTTTTATATTCAATCAAATACAAATTATTGAATATTGAATGAGTAGAACAGTTTATATTGTGGTTTTAATATGCGACATCGCACGAACTAACTTAAATGTATCCCAAAGGCATGGGGTTGATTGTGAAAAACATAATATTGTTGTAGTAAAGAAGCTTGCACAAAATGAGCATTAGACCACTTGCTTCTTTTAATTGGACAAGCCCGCCACAACCTCCCAAAATCGCTGCAATTCCTGTAAGCCAGGATCTACAGTAGATACCTACAACCATGAAAACACCGGAACACTGAAGTACAGCGCGTCCCAGGGACATGAATAACTGTCTTGATTCCCGCAAGGAAGTGAATCAGAAGATATTATAAGAGAAGAAAAAAGTTTCCACTTCCCTCGGTGAATTACTGCAGGAGACAGAATCAATTAAGCCTAAAGGCACAAAAAAGAGACTACAAGGTTGAAGCCCAGTCGCCAAGCACCTGCTTAGTGAATCGAGAGGAATAAACAAGCTGTCTACCTTAACTTCTGTGACTGTAACGCATTTTACAAGTATCCTTTACACAATTACAACCCAAGAACTTTAACATTGTAGAAAACGCGATTGACGCCATAAGCTGTAAGCAAGTTATAAATATGAATAAAATGTGTAGTGATTTATAAAATGTTAAGGTTTGTTTATTCAGGCTGAAAGGGTACTTCATAGCAGTTACGGAACGAACCAAGTGAAAAATTTCTTATGTTCCATTCAGCTTATAGCAATTTGATGGACATTGACCCTTCGCTGGGGAGTTAATGTCCATATCTATAGTCACCACGCAGGGCTAGCGGGCGCTGTCGACCAATATATGATCCCGTATTATGTACTCATAAATAATAGGTATATAATGTGCAGAGCCGCTTCGCAGATTTATAAAGCTATAGAAATTTTATTTATGGAAGTGGCTGTGCCGAAGCGGGTCATGTTTGCGGGCACCGAATTAACTAGGATTATGTAAGCTACGGCAGTACAGTTACAGTTCAACCGAGCTATACGAATTAAAGCCCCTTTCAGCAACCCTTACAAAATACTTCAAAGAAACAAGTGAAAGTTTTTTGTATGAAAGTAACCAGCGTAATAACACGACAAAGCTCTGGTTGTGAAAAGCAAGCAACTTTTATGAGTATGCTATAAAGTAGGTACTAACTTTGTAGTAACTTTGCAAGTTTCTCCACTCACAAATTCGGGGGGTAACTAACCAGAGCTGTTATTATGTAACGGAGAGGATGGTGTAATTGGATGTCATGTGTACGCAGTATCGAGCTTCGTAGCGCTACGGCTACGACAGCTACGCTACGCCGCTCGCCGCGCCAATCGGAAGTCGGAACTCACGAGCCCACAGCCTGCCCGTTGAGTCAGCTTCATTTTAATATCTCAGGGGACACATACATTACTTTTTTATTGATGCCATTACTATTGAACTTTCTCATCTGCCGAAACCTGCGTCACTTGGGAAAAAAGTTTTGTGTTTTCCGAGGAACACAAACAGATTTGTCTCTCCTTCGTAGGTCATTGCTGGTATGACTCACCAAACTGTTCGGTCACCTAAAAGCTTATACAGAACGCGAACAAAAATAAATATGCTACTTGAAAACAAAAGGCACCATTATTAAATGAAGTTATTAAACTGATGTGGGACGCTTTACTTACAATGTTGTATTTAAACAATGAATTTAACAAAGTGTTATGACCGCATCCATTTATCTAGAGAGCAGGTATGCTAGGTTTACACTTAGCGTGAACCCAACCACAACATTACGCCTATTAATAAAATGTACATGTTGTTTAAAAGTAGGTTTTTAAAGGTCGTTTAAATAATAAGATTAATATAGCATCGCTTGTTTTAGCATGAAAGATTATTTTAATTACTCATAAACATTCAGCTCGCTCGAATTATTAAACTGTCAAATACCAAGCGGTCACCGGTGACCGCAACCTATTGTTCTATAATTGTGTCTGCAAAACCGGTACTCGACGAGTTAATTAATAACAACAGTATAACAGAAAGGTTTATTTAATTATTCGATTACTTCAACACCTAATAAAAATATTAGTGCATATTATTATAGTTTCTGGTAACAAGACAATGATATATTATGTACTTTTAAGAATTATGACGCAGTAGATTCTTTTAAGAAGGTAACAACAGTGGTTACTTAAACAAATAGCTAAGCAACCGACTGTAGTTTCCCCAAGAAATTCTTGGAAATTGCGATTATTAGACCGAGCACATTTTCCTAGAGTGAAAAGGTTTATACGACGTATCTATAAATCGATAAAAACTGTATTTCGGATTCACCGTCCGAAAGCTCCAATTAAACACTTGATTGGGTATAAGGCAACCGAAAGTACGCGTTTTGCATTTGTCGTATTGTATTTTCAGACTGAATATTAAGGTTTAAAACAGTAAACACACTTTTATAATTTGAATCCAGTACCTAAGTATTGGTATTGGTGGTATAGCAAATTGATAATACAAAATAGTGTTTAAATTCACACATAAGACGGACATTGAATCGATAATGACGTCATAACTATCGTATGGTACCATAAAGCAAGTTTATTGACGTTTTAGAGTGACATAGGCTTTGTACATGCGAATGCTTTTATCTCAGAAGCCATGGTTACATTTTCGACCACTTTTAGTACATGACATATTGTACAGTTGTTGCCAGCTCAAAGGCACGTTGTATAGAACTTCATTTAAGAACTTATTAAGAGTTAGTAATCACACAGTTTTAAATAGTTTTCAAGACTTGAAGCTAAGCTACGAAACATTTTCGATCACATTCATTCTGTTAGCAGCACATATCTACATTCAAAGTGTGTAAATGAATAAATAAGTACTCGCTAACAAGCTCTTTGTCCTACAAAGACATTTTTCGAAATATATTATTCGGAGAATCCGGATGAGGGGCATTACACGTTCGTGAAGTACGGAATACCAAATAGGTATGTGGGTAGACATAATTAAATACCTATGGCGACACGCGATAACGTAATATAGTCGAGTAAAACAAACAGCACAACGCTTACGTGCACGATGCGAAAACAATAGGGACGGCACGCTGAAACTTGTGTACAACTATGCTGATTGGAAAACTCGGGCAGACAGAATAGCCGCGTGTCAGTGGAGCTTGCAAAATGGAATTGATGCTGTGTCTATGGAAGTATCGCAGGTATGACGTAATGTTAGTCTCAGTAAAGAGAGAAGAATTCTTATCGAAATATTTAATCCAGTTTGCTAGCGCCAAATCCAGCGATAAATCTCGCACCAAAAAGGGAACGTTTTTCTTTCTTGACTATATAATATATGAGTAACATCTAGGCAGCAGAAAGTCCTTTGCAGGAATGTGAGTAGCAGATGTAGAGGAAATGAATCATATTATCACAAGTTCATTATGGTGATTACCAGAGCGAGCGCTAGAAACGACAAAACTGACGCGTCCGTAGACCTTAGTCATAATGGAGTCACGTATGATTCATACTCCTTAAGATTAATCTCTAACCTCTACATAACCATACTTTATATTTAATCGAGATATGTTCGATTATGTAGGATTGCAAACCTTCATTGAGTGCTTTTGCTGTATCATGACATCATAACGTCGTTGACCACAGTTTTAAAACAGGTTTCATGTGTTCTGTACTAGTCAAACATTGCTTATGTTTCTTCAAATAGAAATTCCACCGCTTCGAAAGCAGCGACATTTTTTTAAATATAACAAACCAATTAAGTACTATTTTCACTGTCCCACTTCCAGCTCTAATTCCTTTGAACAATTTAATAAAAATAGCCGAGTAACCAAGTTAGCTGAGGAATTTACACTACAACTGTAATTAACAAAGCCTTCAGAATATAATGTTCGTACTAAACAGCGAGTTACAGAGCGGTAGCTCTGGGTTAATTAAAGTCTATTAAGTGGATTACGCGTCAGTGCGGTGTGAAAACAAAAGAGACTTACCTCACTGAAGAATTCGTCCATAAAGCCCCCTTCGACGGCGACGTTGACGTCGTCGGGCCCGACATCGTCATCGTCGCTTTGCGCCTGTGAACAAAAAATAATACAATTAAGATAAATGTCTATGTCTGTTGCCCATTACTATAATTTCCAACAACATCCTAGAAATCACTTAAGAAATATAGGCCTTATATAGGGAAAGATAAAATAATTCTACTTCCATACGCCATTCAGTGTTCTCCAACTAATTGAGTATGAGCGAAACTACGGGCGGGCTCGTAATACAATTAATCGTTATTACATTAAGACGTTAGTTAATTGTAATTACACTTTAGAAGTTGTGGAGTAAGAAGAAATAATGAATCGCGAGGCGTCGTGGACGGTCGACACTCCATTTATCCACGTTGCACTTGTAAGTCAAGCTGACGTGAGAAGTGGTGCCACATGTTGAGTTCTCAGGACTTTTACACTGACGAGTTCTTTACATTTTATTTTTGAAACGGTAAAATGTCGAGAGAATTATACTTGTAGAAAGAAGGAGCCGTATAATTTAACGATAGAAATCATGTTTTAGTCTGTAATACCCCTTTGTCTACTTTCCTATCAAATTATGCATGAGTTCCTGTACATACTAGGATAATACGTTTGAAAACAACAGTAAAAGCAAATACTGCTTGGATATTCAATATTGTAAAAGGTTTTCTCTTCCAATACTGGTGATTACTGTGTCAGATTGACATCGCACAACGTGTCCCTAATAATTATTCACCACTTTGTTCCGAACAATAAGTCATAACTAGAAACAGTACTGTCGCCTTTCCTATTAATTCTTAATGAGATCAACTCGACTCCACAAAAGGCTACGTATTATAACGTCGCTAATGAAATTGTGTATGAACTCTGAAATACAAAACCAAAGGAATAATAAATGAGACAGGAGGCTAAACGTGGTTTGTTTTAGTCGTGACGTAAGCAGGGGTCGACATCAGATGTACACGAAAAGCAAAATAGAATCCACTTAGTAGAGGCGGGCTAGCCATTATTCAATTTGTACGGACAGTCCGTGTATCCACAAGGGCCTATTGATGCGCGATGCGCCGCTGTTCTCCAGAGGGAATAATGCAACGATGTAGGTGAACAGGGCTTTGTTTTACTTTCACTGATACTAGATTGATTCACTTACCAATGCATTAAGATTTCTTCGATAAAACGGAAAATATAATATTTTTTGTGAACATATTAAAACTTTCGTGAGACATACTAATTAATTATTATGTATTCTGCTTACTCGTAACTGTTTGACGAGGAACTCGACTAGTTTCAAGCCATGCTAGAGGCAAACAGGAGGAGGAGGCTAGGAGTAGCAGCGCGACAGACGCCGCCGTGTCGATGGTCGCGGAATGCTGATCATGAATATGAGGCTCTAGCATGGCTTGTAACTAGTCAAGTTCCTCGTCAACACAGTGAGTAAGCCGAAAACATAATAATTAGAAAGACTGCGAAATTGTGTATGTAACTTGTCAACTTGTAAAATACGTATTTGACGAAGGTTTTATTTGTATCACTCAAGACAAACACTTGGCCAACAAGGTGAGTTGAAACCATTGTATTTTAGCGGAACCTTTGTTATCTTTTGAAATCAACAAAATATAATTTTCCCTTTTTATGACAACAAAGCGTGAACGGAGGTGGCGATGGCGGTCAGAGTCAGGGGTCGGGTCGTGCTGTGTCGATATAGGTCACTGTAACACTCACCGAAGTAATTTAGCCAAGTTTAACAACAAAAGCTTGCGTTTAGCTACCGTGTTGTCAACTTTTTCAGTAAACTAGTTATGAGTAAACATTAATGTACCTAATAAGAATTCATAAACGGCCAAGGATTCACGTGATCATTTTAACTGACGTAACGTAAATGGTGCAATTTTCCTATTACGTCTGTTTGCGTCAACGCATGTGTTTTGACAAGACTTCCAATGTCCATAATTTTTTATACATTTACTCTACAAAATCTCACTATTGCTAATTTAATTAGCAAATGAATAAGTTAAGTGACAATGTCGTAAAGACAACAAGATAATGGATGGATTGGAGATTGCTAGATAGATTGATAGATAGACAAACAGACAGATAAATTAATTAATATCTAACATGGGAACTTCGAAATACGAGTATGTTCCAACTGCATGAAACGCTTTCTACATCATACGAGCCAAGAATAGTAGTTTTAATGTCAGACCTTAACATTTAACCTTTAAACTGGGGAATCGTTTATAGAAAAATATACAGGCTGACCTTATGACATCGGCACAGGATACAGCGTCAATACGTGTACGGTGTAACTCAGCGTAATAATTGACACCTCGTCTCACAACGCCTACAAAACATCGTCGTCGTGCCGAGTTCATACGCATCCGAGCATAAAAAGGATTTGTATTTACGACACAAAATGTAATTGTACACATTTGTACCGCTCGTTATACGTGCAGTTATCCTGATTTAATAACGCAGGAAACAACCAATTGTTTACAATGATTATGAGCAATCCCTACGAAGCGGACAATCAAATTCTCTCGTGTCCGTATTAATTTAGCATGTTTAATTAGCTTTTAGTAAATTGGGTAAAGTTGACATGAAAGTATAACGAGAAAACGCTACCACAATAACATTATTCGAATGTCATTTGCATTACTCAAATTTTATCAACTTGAGAACACCGGCGACTAAGGACCATTATCATGCTCTTGTCATACGATAAGATACTGAATTCAAGGTTTTTCAGTTCTTATATTATCTGCTCTCTGTTGTGAATATTATTTTAAGTAATGCAAGAAAAATCTTATACTTTAAAAATAGCTGATATTTCAATTCAAGGAATATTATAAGAATATACATTGTGCGATACAAATTCTGCAGTAGATTTCCGAAATAGGTATTAGATGAAATAGAGGTAGTGGGCAAAGCTGATTTACAATTTATGGAGGGTTTCATCCCAGTCGCATCGTAACAGTAAGCAGTCAGTGAGTTAATTTCGAGCAGACACGGTCATGGTCGCCACTTCGCCTGTGGCTTAGAAAAGGGCTACGGACGAACGGCCGCTTTAGTTTATAAGCAGCTATGAACTATGTAAGTACTTAGGGCATATCGAACGTGTGATGTTCCGTATCGGATAATATTTCGTACACCTGCCTCATAATCATGGTTACTCATAAACATATTTCAAATATGATTATGAGTCATAATCATCAAGCATTCACTTATTATTAAATCACCACCATAACAGACTCGCCAAAAATATTCTTAGTTCTCAAATAGAACCCCAACCGAAAAGTAAGCACGAATGTTTCAAAGTATTTTTAAAATAACTTGTAAGTAACAATTTGCTAGACATTTTCAATGAAAACCACAATTTCGAATGTTCTACTAAATGGAGCTAACACATACAAGGCTTGAACTATTTTCGTGGCGCGGAGTGTGAGGTAGCGAATTGGGAGTCACGTCACGTATTTCAATCGAACCAGATCTGATAACGTCAGCTGTATTGGCTTCCTAGCATAGGTCGGTCTGGCGTCGATTTTATTTTGTAGGCCGAATATTATTTTTTCATTGACTCGCAACTTTTATTTTTACTTTCATTAGATAAAAACTTACTTGGTAGAAATGTTTTGCTCAAAATAATATGCATAATGCACCTTTTCGTCGTTCAGTTATTGTGCTATGGAATCCTGAATAAGAAGTAAAAAACTTTCTTACGTTAATTCCATTAAAAGGAATCATTCAGTCAGGCTACTATATTATTCAAACGACTTTTTCCCAAAATAGATTTTACAAATTCAACATTCATCGAAGTTGCCACTCGAAACCCCAAAATTCGGCTCCTACATACCGTTAGGATAAAATATTTAACAGTTCAAACATTTAATTGTGGTTGTTCGCGTTAAAATTTTACAAAGTTTAATTAAACAGCGTCAAGCGGTACGAACGAAAATCTGGGTATAGGAAGAACAGAAACGAATTTCAATTTAATTGCATGGGCAACGGGGCAATTTTCGTTAACCCTGTACCATCGTATGTTGGATTAAACGTCCTAATTGGTTATAACTGGCTCTCCAACCTGTGCTGAATACAGATTGATACAATTTCAAAGCCAGTCCTTGCGCATTCAGTTTGCGTTATGTACCTAAAATCTCTCTGACTTACGCAATCTTGGCCTTCACCCTTCGTAACTACCGTCTCGCTAGTCTAGACTACACCTCAAGGATAATGTTATTTTTCTGAAAATCTTCAAGTAGTCACTTAACTGAGACCGAGACACGATTGCTCTCAATATTCAATATTGGGTCAGGGAAATTTTTACCATAAGAAATTATTATCAAGAGACGTTTCCTAATGAAATGCTACGAACTATTTACAAATGATTAATAGGTTTCGCGAAATCAATTATCTGACCTTCAACAAACGTTACAGCAATATTAAAAGGGCACGTAGATGGTGTAAGTACAGTTGAGCTTATATCTTGCCCATGATTATTCCCTGACTGTTTTTATTTTAGTTTTTGGGTAACAAAATCTCTACCATATGTAACAAGATAAAACAATCCCTGGTTGTAGAAGTCGTCAAGGGGATTATTTAGATCTGGGTCAATTCGAGGCGGCATCCCTAAATCTCGGCACATAATTACGAGCGCGGGACGCGTGGCGTGGCATCTAGATCGCTCTTCACTGCTTACAACTTTTTGACCCGGCCTATTTGGAACCCCTCTACAATCTCGACGATGCAATTCAATTTTAATTACACTGATATAGCGACGCATTGCATAGGAAATACGTATTCGTTGCCCCCATTTTGCAGATCTGATAATGTAGAACAAAGACAACGGATCTAAAATTCATCTGATACGAATTTAAAGTTAAAAGAAAAACTGATGCTTCCGAATCATTATCTTACATAAATCTGGCTAAAGATTATTCTCACAATGTGGAAACGTAACTCCGGCGGTCCGGACGGATAGGCTTGCCCTGAGGCCACTGAGAATTGCGGCATTAACAAGTTTTTCCACTTGAAACAGTCTCGTAACATGGAGCAGCATC